CTACTACGGTCAAAATATTCACAAGCATCAACTATTGCTCAGCAACAGTCAGGAATAGTCGAATGTGTCCGGTATTTTGACGTAGTAGCGTTATTTATTGATTAAATTTGAATATTTTTTTTTTACTAAAATGATCAGTGTAACGAGCTCTACAAAATTCTATGAATGAAAAAGTTTTCAGAAAATCTCATGTTGTATCTTGTTGACTACTCATGAAAATATCCATCAAAAATACGATTTGCGGTAATTTTGTCCTTGGTAGATAGATAATGCGTCGAAAACTATGCTTAAAAAAAAAGAATATTTGATGTTTTTGACTGTAACCACGCTATTGAACAGTTCGGATTCTAAAGACCTCACATATGACAGTAAAGAAAATCTTAGACATATCCCACTCCATTAGCTATTTTGAAGAACAGATTTCGCATGAAATCATCGTTAACCAAAAACCATAGTATTTATGCGAAAAACAACGGTTCTGTCAGCTGTTATCCTAGGTTTTATGTGTATTAATATTTGTAAAATATTATCTAATGATGATTGTAAAGATTTCATCCCAAAATGGTAACTTTCTTATATTGGAACATTAAGATGTTCATTATTTAACCCTGCTATGGAAGCTATAGCTGGAACTCACTAAAACTTCAGCAAAGTCAAGCCATTCCATGTCAGTTATGCTGATTCAACATATTTATCGGCGTAGTCTACCATAAGCCAACCGTACATTCTGAAGGTTCAAACTTAAAAGCGAAGAAAACTGAGTCTCATATTGAAAATATAACGATCGGTAGGATTTAAAATCGAAACATTCCTACCCGTAAGCACTATTGACTGCTTTCGACACAAGAAATTTTTTTTTAGAGTGAACAACTAAAAACTATATGTAAACAATTTTAGTGAAATACATTGTAAAACGAGGATCGATCAGCAGAAACCACTTCTTCAATTAGTTAATCTTTGGTCAGATACGTAGTACTTTTTCAACTTATAATCTTCTCATCAACGTTTCGATGTCTATGAGCCCAGATAATGTCTTTGAAAATTATTTCTTGTATTTAGCTCGTTTATGGTTCTCATGTTCGCAATAAAACATGATGTCTACAGATAGAATTCAACAAGCTCCATCGAACATATCCACTTTGAGCGCATTTTTATTTGATACTTGCGTCCGTTTCCTATGGGCATTCGTAACTTATGTTAACACCATCAACACCCAACTTCGTACAACTGATAGAAAAAAAAAATATTGTCAACAAAGACTATAAAATGATCCTCACACCTACCAACGCCCACCATGTTTTTTTTTATGCTACGCAAAAATATCCCAATTCATCTTCACTAATATCTACAAAAACATTTCATCCACTTCTTGATATATCATTCATATAGTTACTCAAGTTTATTTATCTTGAAAAAATACCTAAATATGAAAAAAGTCTAAAAAAAAGGCATGAAAACAAAGAAAAATATAGAAAGACAAATTGCTCTATTCAGTTGATTTAAATAAACAATGAAATAGACCCATATCGGGTAGTCTAACAACATAAAAAAAGAATATAATTCACTTTATACTGAAATATTTGTTACTAAGCAACAACATGAAATTGAAATTTCATCAAGATATAATTCACTTTTATAAATAGGTGAAAATTAGTGAAAACATTCTAAAATATGGCTACCAGTTTTTTTGCTAAGTAAAATTACTTAAATGGCACATTGACTTTTGTTCTGTAAAATTTGTATCTCTGCAATATTGAATTCTATTTTGAATAGAACTAATAAGCTAAACTTACAAGTTTAACTGATGACGATATAACAGCTTTGAAGTATAAAACATTATAAAAGGTCAAGTAGAAAAATAGAAAAGAACTACAGATGTCATTTCATCAATGCAAAGCTTTTCAATTGAGAATATGATAATAAACTTTGTCAAACAAAGGTGTCACACTGTATAAATGAAATTTTAAATTGTCAAAGTTTCTTCAAAGATTATATTTACAGACATATGATTAGTATAACAATACGATTGAATTTCTACAAACGGCTTCCAACAGAACAGGATACGCGTCTTCACAATGAAAAAAACAATGACAAGATCAAATAAGAACAAAAATTTGATCAATAGAATAACTCTTTTATTTTATTTCTTACGCAAATATTTATGCTTTTTCACTTAATATTAGTTTTATATTTACCAATCGATTTATAATAAACTCATTAGGAAGTATTTGGAATTGTGTCAAACACTGAAGACATTCTAAAACAACAGAAAAAAACTAGTTGTCGTCGAACAATCTTTGTTCTGTACATTTAACTGTAGGTTTTTTTTTTCTATTGGCTAGTTTATGCAAAAATGATAGCAAATAAAGTTTTCATTCACTACGAATGATAGAAGAGACTAAATCTATCGACAATAACATTAAAACAATATTGGAAAAATTTTTTGGTGAAATGCAACTGTTGACTTCATAGAAAGAACTTTTAAGCATTGGTTAAATGTTGTTCTCTTATTCAATCGAATTTTATAAGGTCGAAGTCATTTGTTTAAATGTTTTGATATCGGTTGAAAGTCGCTCATTACGAGCTCAAATTCTCTATAAATAAGAATACTTTTGTCCTTATTCAAGTTCTTTAAGATTCAATTAAAGAGAAATAACTTGCCTTTGTTTATCATGAAATATAAGTTGTTATATAGGTAATTTTTTTATGTAAGTCTGATCAATTTTCGATGAACTTATATTTTTTATCAATATATATTGATTTGTTGATCTACGTGTTTTTATTTTATTTTTACATTTTCGTTAGTTGTTTGAATAATAAAATCCTGATCAATGTGCCTATCTTGTGAACACTACGTAAACTGTTATTAGTGCTAATTGTATTTGACTTAACAGAAAAGAAATATTTGTCGATATGTCATAAGTGATATAGAATGAAAACACAAGTTATTAAATTCATGTATTCTTCACTATAAATGTAATTTAATCCGAGTATGATACATTAACAATCGATTGATGGTCGACATATTGAACTGAATTTTTCGGTTCGATTTGATCATGTTTCTAATTGAAATAACCGTAATATGTGGTTAATACAAAATTATTAACGAATTTTATAATCAGAGATGAAATTAATTAACTTTTTCTCAACATAAATTAAATATAGATCGTTTTCTTGTGAAAAACCTTGTTTTCTTTTTTTTTCTATATTATCGTTAGAAAACTTTCTAAGAGATGATTATAATATACTAAAAATCGTATATTTATGATGTTTCGATTGGTGTTAGACATTGATTAAAGTCTGCCATTGTATACACTTATACATTTATTTATGTTAAATTAATAAATCACTTATTAACTAAAATCATCGTTTAATCTTATTTTCGATGATTGATAGTATCGATTTGCAATGAAATTGGTCCTATTGAAAAATCTTTTCTATTACACATCATTTCATAGAATTTAGAAATTCTCTTTTCGACTCATCCTGACTTGTTTTCTTATAAAAGAATGAGTTTCAAAAATACCTCAGCTCATGTTTAATCGAAAAAACTAAATGAATTATCTTGTATGAAATATAATATTATCGAATGAATTAATAAGATGATTTTGTTTTTTTAAGTCAATTGATCATTGAAGGTTGACTATCATAGTTCTTGTTCTCTTGATGAACTTTAAAAGGAAAATCATTTCGTACTGTTTTTAGCCAAATATTTTTAATTTGATAAGTTTTTTTTCGTTGCATACAAAATTTTCTATAGGTTTTTAGAATAAAAAAGAATTTTCAAATCTGTGTAGAAAAGATGTATAGACATGAAAATTTGATCAATAACCATATATATTGTTATAAATCATAAAAGTTTATAACTAAAACTGATTAGATTATATGATATTCGACATGATCTTAATATGTGTTTGAAGAAGCAAAAATTTTTTAAAGGTATCATAGGAACCTTCGAAATCCTTTCAAAGTTCATTAAACTTTTACCATATGTGAAAAATTTTTTGGAGAATTGATAAACGTTGAAAAATGGTTTCGAATTCTTTTCAATTATGCTATCGTACTTTTTTCTTCAGTGTAGTTTCGGCATTGTTAAAGAATTTCATCAATCAGTTTCTCGTCTAAGTCTTAAGATAACGAAATAAAAGGGATGATGTATGAAAGTAACGTACAATGATTACTCTATACAGGAGATTTTTTGTTTTGTATTTTCAAAAGACTTCAGTAGTTAAATAGTTGTTTTGCACACATTATTTTCTCTAGAGAAAATTTTTAGATATTCTTTCAAAACATAGAATCATAATTGATTATATGTACTTATGTATAGAGGCGAACAAATATCGATTGATTATTTTATTCTTGTCTGTATACAAATTTCATTAGAGATATAAAGAGAAATGGATGAGTTTTTGGTGGTTTTTTTAAAGGATATTTGACATAGATTTGTTATGTTAAATAAAATTAAAAATTTTATTGATAAATATTTTCTTCAATAAGATAATAAACAATATGTTGACTAAATTTATTCTTAAAGTAGAACATACTGAAAACGTTTTTTGTATTATTCGGGGAATAACTTGGTTAGCATTTATTTTAAAATATAATCAAATTTTCATTCAAAAAGTATATCATCAATTAAGATTTGAAATAAATGATCTATTTCTAAAATAACATCGTTAATTTAAGCTCGAAGAGATAAGTTAAATTCTTTGCTGTTTCTAAATATTCGTTGGTTAAGTTATTTATGAGATTGTAGAATAGAATTATCAATATGAATAAGTGATGTTAACCATTAAATGAGTCAATATCAGACGAATGATAAATTTTACGAAAAAATTTCATGTTCATTATTATTGAAAACGACTTAGATAAACACTGAGAGATTTATGTCTCGACTTTTATATGATAAAGAAATGAAAATGTACAAACAAGAAAAATAATAGTTAGTCAAGTGCGACAATTATTTAATAGAAATTAAGATAATGATATTAAAATGATTAATGAATTCATTTACTAAAAAGAATGGTGAAATAATAAATGTATCTAATCGAGTTACTTCGATTGTATTACAAGAATCATCTCATATTGATAGAAATACTTTTGAAAGTCTTGGATATGATCTGAAATCAGATTTTCTAATCTATGATGTTACAAAGACGGTATTAAATGCTTTTACACCAATCGTAACACGTCAATCATCTAGTAGAAAAGATTTACTTTTCATAAGTGTAACTTCCGGATTATGTGCCACATATTATAAATAGTTAATATAAAAGAAAAAAAATGCTTGAATGAAAATTTTTGACTAACTCTTTTCAATAATCGATTTTCTTTTCATAGACTTTAAATATGTTTTTTATATAATGATTAGATAAAGTCAATCATTTGAATAAATTTTTTATTATTTTCTCTTAAATCAAATTGTTTCATAAGAAATAAAAACACTTTTTATTCTCAATCGTAAATATATTCATAGAGATATTCATTTTTCTGTTTGCAAACGAGTATCGTGTTTTTTTTCTATAGTAAATGTTAAGAATAGAATAATTCTTTTTTTTATTGACCTAATGTAAGCTTTCGAGTAGGTGTGTAATTACTAAAATGTCCTTGATATCGTCATTGAATAAATGATAATCATAATCAAGCTTCGTTCTTTGATCATAGTTTACTTATAAAAGTGACTGGAATATAAATTCAATAGTTAGATTGCCTTTAATATTGACGTCGTAAATAGGTTTGACCACAACCAGGTATATATATCATTCCTTACATGATTTATTTAACTAGAAATAAACTAAACTCTCCATATTTAAATTTTTATCTCGATATAAGAAAATTTTTTTTTTCTTTTGAAATCGAAAAATTTGCATAATTATATTATTCTAGTTTTTTTTTTTGTTAGGTAAAAAATTATCAATAATGATAAAACATAAAATAATTTATTTATTGGGTAATCATGGTTGTGGTAAATCAAGTATTTGTCAATTAATTAATTCAAAATAAGATTTAAATAATGATAATATAATTGCTATTGAAGATAGAAATCAATTAAACATTAAATATAAATTTGATTCAAGTTCAATTGATAAACTAACACTCGAATATATATATGATGATGAATATTTTAATAAAATAATCTTATGAGATAAAACAATCAATGATGAAGATATTTATTGGATCGTATTAGATTGTAATATTGTTATTATTTTAAAACGAATTCCATCTCAATCAAAATTTGATATATGGATGACAGAAAAAGCTTTAAATTATAAACGAGAACGTTATCGTTATTTAAGTTCTCATTTTGAAATTCCATTTATTGATACAACAGAACAAACATTAGACGAAGTTTATCAAAATATTATTGATATTATTCAAAAATATTCAAATTATTATTGATATTATCGTCAAATAGGTACTCAAATACTTAATTATGATTTTATTCAAGATAATGATATTGAATATAAACTTTATCAATTAATAAATAATTATAATTTTAATGATATAAATGATTTACTTGAATATGCAAATGAAATTGATAATGTTGATAAAAAAAAATTATATATAAGATGGTATTTAAATAAAAATTCATTCAAATTAAATAAACAAACTAATATTATTCAAATAGGAGAATATAATATACCAATAAAACAAACTATATTTAAACTTATTAATGAAGGAGAATCAAAAAAAATTTATAAAGATATTACTGGAAATCCATTTACTAATAATTTAGTATTTATTGTATTAAAATCTACTATTTATTCACATTCAAAGCAACTTACTGGAGAAATTAATAATTTAGGTTGCAGTTTTTTTTTGTTTCATACTTCTTATTATTAACATCTATTTTTATTAACCAAACGTCTATTACTACTTTCTATAGATAAATGATCACAATTAGGATAAACACTAGAAATTAATAATAGATTTTTTTAGTTGTATGATCAAATTTTCTAAACGTATTTCTATTTCGTATTTTTCTTAACCATTTTTCATTGTAGAAATTAGTGTTAAGTTTCAAAAGATTCTCTTTTGTATTATCTGGAAAATTCCATAAGAACATTTTGTCTAAACTCCTATTCTAAAAAAAATGATTAAATAGTAAAAAGTCTTGTCGAACATCTAGAACTTTCTTGATAGATTTCTTTTTCCTATCATTCAAAAAATATAAAACATTTCAGAAAAAAAAGTTTTTCAGTTAAATGAGTTGAGCTCTTTCTCATTATATACAATAAAGTTCATTCAAACGATGGATTATTACATAGACAGTGAATTATTTAATCATTTATATTTAAACGATTCAAAAATTTTGTGAATTTTTACCAAAATATCTCAATTTTTCCAAGTTACTAATTTATAATTTTTTTCAATTTCCGAAAAGAAAAGTCTTTTTCTCTGAACTAGGTGTTTATGTGCAAAAATATTAAATTATAACTAGAACTTTTTTTTTATAGTATAAAAAAATTCTTTGAAAAGCTTTAAATCGTAACAGAAACAAGTATAACAAATAATTTTTATTTTATAAATTTGTACATTCCATAGAACGATTCAATTATTCGAGCACTCTCTTTAATTGAAACTTTAAATAAAAAGTTCTTATATAATTTAGTAGACAATTCAAAGGAGTATCTTTTTGAGATTAGATACTGATTTCTATAATAAAAATTGGCAGAGATTAACATGAAATAGCTAATGAAAATATTCTTACATAAGATCTATCTGAATCGAATTGAATTTGTTTTTTTCTCCGTGTTCTTAATATAAATTAATTAATCATCTGTTTCACACTATGTATATTTCAACGTATACATGTACTCTTCTACTCTACTATCGATAACTGTTCCATGTGCTGTTATTACATTATATTCGAAAATCGAACATGTTTTGATAGTGAAAAACATAAAATTTAATTTGAGTATAGAATAGAGTTAATTAAAAAAAATAGTGAATAATAAAAATTCTTTGAAATGTTTTAGGTTCAATACGTGCATGTGGTTGTCAATTGTTTTTAGAAGTGATGTGGCGTAATGGAATAAAACATAGTTATCGTTCAATAAATAAAAATGGTATTATTATAAGTGATTTAATTAATGAAATTCCTCCGATTGAAGTTATTGTTAAAAGATATTGTCAAGGAACTGATAAAAATTCATACAATGATATATTATTAAATGAAAATATAACAACTAAAGATAATTCTTTAAATAAATTTGATAAAAATATATGCAGATTAGCTGGATTAAAATCATGTAAAGATATATTATATAAATGGAATTATTTTAATAATAATAGGGATATTATTAAGCGGTCAGTAAAATAAATGAAATGGTCAGGAAAATATATGAAATGATCAGTAAGATAAATGGTCAGTAAAAAATGTATAAATGATCAGTAAAAAGATTAAATGGTCAGTACTTAGATTATCACTCATATAAAAAAAAAAGATTGGAAAAAATCTGATTTTAATCGATTTTTTGTGATTAAAAATCAATTAAAATGGGACAGTTTTAACCAGGTTTTTAATCAAACTAGTGATTAAAATAAATTAAATTTATAAATATCCATTTTAACCGATTAAAATTTTTTCATTGACTATTTTACTCAATTTTAGTCAGATTATTCGATTTTTAATCTATTAAAATCGATTAAAATTTTTAAATCGATTTTAATCAATTCTAATAGTTTTTCTTTTTAAATGAATAAGTACCAATTGATATCGAGTCTTGAAGCATGGAATTTATGTCAAAGGTCGATCTAGCATCATATCTACTAATTTTCCGAGGCAAGGAGTCCGAAAAAGCGATCGAACATCTGAGTTTTCAACATAAAGTTTGAGAAAACGCATTTTACCGTCGCCGCCATTAAAATTAATATTTATAAATTTAATTTATTTTAATCACTGGTTTGATTTAAAAAATCGATTAAAATTAGATTTTTTCCAATCTTTTTTTTATATGAGTGATAGTCTAAGTACTGACCATTCAATCTTTTTACTGATCATTTATATACTTTTTACTGACCATTTATCTTACTGACCATTTCATCTATTTTACTGATCATTTAATTTATTTTACTGACCGCTTAAATAGTAGCCATAATAATATATTTATTGAATATTTTAATTTAAATAAATTTCATCAAACAGAAATATATAATTATAATTATTATTTTTATCAAAATGAAATAAAAAAATTATTAAATAATAATAAATTAAAAATTCCTTATCATTTAAAATATTTATGGTCAAATATTTCAAATCAAATTAATCGACGTATTCTTATTACAATGGATTTATTTAATGGTAAACCAGTTTTAGTTAAAAGTTCACAAATAAATCAATATCATAGTAATTCAGATTATATTCAAGCTATGAATTATATATCAATATTTTCTGATATATTAATTATTGATTTAAATCGAGTTTTTGATCAAACAAATAAAATAATTAAAGAATTAGAAAATAAATATTATATACATACAGGTGGTGGTTTAAGAACATTAATTGATATTGATGATATGCTTAAATCAGGTGTTCGTCATTGTGTTTTATCAAGTATGAATGATGAATTAATTAAAAAAATTCCAAAAGATCGTTTAATTATTGAAATAAGTATAAATGAAAAAAATGAAGTTCTTATAAATGGTCGTCAAATTAATACACATATAAATATAATTAATAAAATCAATCAACTTATTCAAATAGGTATTCAAATTATTAGTATAACATTTGTTCAAACTGAAGGGCATTTATTAGGAATACCTCGTCAACAAATACATGATCTTATTATTCAAATACCAAATTATATTGAAAAAATTTATATTGCTGGTGGTATAACAACATTAGATGATTTAGAATATTTATGAACATTTAATCGTGTTATTCCAGTTATTGGATCTTCTTTATGAACAAATAAATTAACAATTGATTCAATTTATAATTCAATGATTTATTTTGATCAATATGAAATAGTACCAGCTATTATTCAAAATATTAATGGTTTAGTTAAAGGTTTATGTTATATGAAAAAACAATCTATTGAACAAACATGTCAAAAAAAGAGTTTTATATAGATATTCAAGAAAATTAAATCAAGTTATTAAAAAAAGGTCAAACATCTGATCATCTTCAATATGTTATTAAAATTAGTTTAGATTGTGATTCAGATTCAATTTTAATTATTGTTGATTCAAAAAATCCATTTTGTCATACGGGTTAATATATTTTTCCTTTTTCTTTTATTTCAATTTGATCAAGTTTATTTTTTTTGTTAAAGGCAATTATAGTTGTTTCAATTTACAAACAAGTATTAAAACAAATCTGTCTACATTATGTGAACATATTAAATCAAAAATGAATACAAATAGTTATACAGGATATATGCAAAGAAATTCTCAATTAGTTCTTACGAAAATAATGGAAGAATATTGGGAATTAGTAGCAGCTAGTGAAAATAATAAAATTTATGAATGTAGTGATTTATTTGTTCATATATTAATATATTTAAATAGTATTGGTTTATCATTAGAAGATATATCAAATGAACTAAATAAACGACGATGGACATTAAAAACATTAATACAATTCGATAAATTATGTGAAGAAAAACAAAATGAAATTCTTATTGCAATAACAAATTCAAAATATTTTGATAAAATAGATCAATTTGCTGAAAATGAATTAGGTATTAAAATTATTCGATATTCAAATAGAAATCTTTTAATTGAAGGAGAAATAATTAATCAAGAGAAATTTTTAAAATATTTTCCTTATGACAAATATAGTAAATTGTCATTATTACCATGTAAACCAAAAGATATGATTTGGTTATTAGCATCAAAACGTATTACACATATAATTACTTATCATACAATTATTGAAAATTATCCAAAAATTTCTACTCGTATTCATCAAATAATTGATCCAACGATTTGTCTTGCTTTAATATCTTGTCAAGAAGATATAATAGAACCAGATAAATGGACTAATAAAAATAAACCATTAATTGCTTCGGAATATATTTGTCAATTAACAAAATATTTTCAAGATAATTCTATTGATTCTGATCGATATCATTTAGATGAATTATCAGGATCATCTGAAGCATTTTTAATTAATACAAAGAAATATTTATTAGCTGATGCTATTGTACATACTGGAAGAACTATTCAAAGTAATAATTTACGTATATGGAATATAATTATACCAAAAGGACAAATACATATTGGACTTTATACATATTCAAATTAATCTATCAATAAAATTACGTATTAAAAAACAAATAAACAAATACTTTCGATTAAATATTGATTTTGAAAATCATCACTAAAATATAAATTAATTCAACAATAGAATAACATTGTATACATATATCTGTTGTTTATGTTTAGTTTTTGAATGATTTCCTAATATTTATATATGATTTTATATTGTAACCAACAATAATATAATAATTAACAGAAAAAATTTAATAAACGAGATAAACTTAATTTTTAATCGATCTATTAAACAATTCAATGATAATATCATTTGAATTCTATTTTTTTGTCCAAAAACTCTTCCACTATTGTTTATTGTATGTCAAAAGTAAATATAACACATGTATCAGTCTCGATATTTACTCACATTCACAACGAATACAATATTTTATCTTATTTTACAAGTTAAAACAAATATTTTCGAAAAACTAATTTAATATAAATTGAAGTACTTGAGTTAAGATTCTTCATTAATTCAGTGCAATACGAAAAAGTTCAACCAAATATTTTATACTTTGATTCCCTTATTAAATTATATAATTCATATTATTTTGATTATAGTATAACTTTTCGTGCACTTAATCGTGTAACGATTGACTATATAAAATGAGCATTTTTTCTACAACGATTAAAAGAATAGTTTTACCAAGCATAAAAACTGATTCGAAAAAAAAAAGAATTCAAAATAAGAAAGTCACCTTTATAATGAACAATTTGTTGAAAGATCAAAATTTATTATTAACATATTTTAATCAACATTAAATTACATTTTAAGAGCGAATAATCATTAGCGAGAACATAGACCTTTTAACAAAATTTTACATATATTACTAGTCAGTTTATCTATGTATATATAAAACATTTTTATTTTATTAAACCATCGATTGATGGTCTTGATGAAAGAATTCATGAAGATTATTTTGATAGTTCACAAAACGATCAACCAATATACAAAATTACCATTGATAAAGTAGATTCTGTTCATCGTCATTTTCATTATTGAGCAGTGAATATCGGTTATCAACTTACTCTTTACATTTTACTATATCAATTTGGCCAAGAATATATCATTCAATAGTAATAAAAATGAGCTCATCGTTAATTCTCGTTATCCGAAACATCATACAAACGATATTCGAAAATAAAATTCGTGTTACAAGAATAATTCAACAGTAGGTCAAATGTATTACCGTTGTTTGGTAAAAGAATTGAAATAATCGAAATCGAAATCAGTCATTTATACGTTTATAGATTTAATAACAAGTGACTAAATTATCATAATGATTATTCACGTCAAATAAATTATATTAATCGAATTGAGTTGTTTTAGCGGAATAATTCATTGTATCCAAACGCTACAAATCTTACTAATACAAAACATTGGTATATATGGAATATTTGACAACTGAATGGTGGCGTATGGTGTTTAAGAACATTTAATTTATCTAAAGAATTTGATTATTATGTTCAAATTCAAGATGAAAAAAGATTGTCTCTACATCAAAACAACAAAAGTTAATGAAAGCTAACACAGGGTTGGCAAACAAGCAATGCATTGAAATTAATGGTTAATCATTGTTTAGACAAAGGTTGAACGTTTATTAACGAAAGATTAGATTTAAGCTAGAGAAATTTTTATCTAATAATGCGTCAAAAATTTATTTCAACAAAAATATATATATTATCAAATTTGAGGGAAACTTTTGTAAATATATCTTTTCAAAATTATTCTCTTTTTTTATCTCAAAATCAAGATCAAAAACAAAAAGAAACCTATGAAAACGAATACGATTAATATGAATACTAAAACTTAAAAACTATATAGTTTTGATTTTGGCATATTCATAATATCGACCGTTCAAAACTACAAAGTTTATCTATCGGAACCTATTGTAATTTATCCTCGATAAGCCATTCAAGAACATAGAAGTCTGAGATCAGTTCTTCGGAATTAAACCTTTCGATAGGTTGAGAGATCAGTCGATAGACGAACACTTATCAAATCTATGAACCTGTTGGATGTCTACGATAAACGTATCGAAATGTCAATCGATCTGGAGCTTGAGAATAGTTATTCTTACAATCGAAATCATTGCTTTGTATTACAATGAATGAGAGTGTTATTCTGGTAAGAGTACACAAACTCATTATTCTTTCTTTTAAACATTAAAAAATGAAAGTAACTGTGATATATCATCAAAAGCAAAGCATGGTTTAGAATTTGTATGCATTGCTGAACTGTCCAATGCACCTGAAAATATGCCAAAAGTACGTGCACCCTGCGCATCATATGTCGAACCAGCGACATGGAATATTTGTGTCTTATCACCATTAACTGCAGCTAATGCTTGCGCATACATCGCTGGACATGCTTTGAAACAGTTGACTGGATAATCTGATGATAATATCAATGAAACATTCACCGACGATGGAAAGACACGTAGCGCTGCTTGCAGTGTACCTTTATCACCATTTGAAAGTAAGCCCAATTGATATTTTCTGCTCAATTTACTGAGAACTTCTGTAGCACCAACACGTGGCTGTAAATTTCCCCATGCCGACATCAGCAAATGGAATGTAGCACTACCTTCAGGTACCATACTTGATAATCCCAATGAATTTAAAATTTTCAATAATGATGAACGAATGACCCATAGAAAAGGTTGACGTGTCACCGATGCTGGAAATGATTTTCCAAAAAATGATACATATGCACTGAGCCAATCATTCGTAAATTTCTCAACATCCAACGATGATAATGATGGTAAAAGAGAAGCAATAGTATGATTTATCGAAGGCTTCGTCAACATCAACGCACCAAACAAATCAAATGTCAACACACGCAATGTGGACACATTCAAAGATGAACAAGGTATCGAATCAGAAGAATTGTTCAGCTCACTCTTTGATGTTCGATCAATTATATTTACAGTCGAACATTCAACGAACCACGTAGAAGCACATAGAATGAAAAAGACAATAGTAGCAGCATTAAAACATTGACGTGCGTTTATCATTTTCTTTGCTTTTCGGTATATAGAATTTGCAAAGCCTTGTGACGATGCAATTGAAATAAAGAAAAATAATAACAACAAGGATTAACATATTTGAATATATAATCCTATTTCTTCTGTTTTTATCGAAATGTAATTTACAGATGTCAATGATTGAGCGATTAAAACAAAGAAAACTATGAGTAAAGCAATCAAAATATCGTTATATTAAGGTCCATTTTCTCTTCTGATTCGAAAATATAACTTAGAAGTACTAATAATAGTAGTATCATAGGGAATATATTTTTATAAATCATCTGCGAGTCTTGTACAATCTTTGTAAAAGACTGTTTAGAAGCAGTCCAGTTTCTTTTTACAAGTAAGAGTACATTATTGTCGAAGGTCTGCGAGATATTTGCTAAACATTTACTTTTGTAGTTTATACCAATAGATTATAAATCAGAAATGCATTAAAATTTTTCAATTATTATTAATAAGTGATCACAACTAGAATCTAGAGAAGATCGAAGACTTTTTACAAAACAAGAATTCAATTTGATATACTGTCAAATCAAATTCACTCGGAGAAAAATTTTAAATCGAAAATTCGCGATAAAAATTTCATGAATATATGTTTAAACAATGATTACCTTACAGTGATTGCTATGTAACACATATGTCAATTGGCAATTTTGAGAGATTTTCTTCTTTTTCGATTACTTCAAAACAAGATAATTATTTTTGTATGAGTCTACATAAATAATCGATAATTCTGGCATTTGTTATCGATGAGAATAAATCCTATGTCAAGTGAATATTTCTTCTATAAAGATATTGGAGATTTGTTGCTTTTTTTTTGTTTTTTTCTTAAACGAAATCTGTCAAACTTCAGTTGATTAATCCAAGAAAGACTGTTTTCAATAATAGAGAAAACACACAATAATCAAATTCAATTGATCAGAAAGATTATGTGTTTTTGAAGTACTGATGGTGTCATTATTTAAATATGAAACAGTCTACCTAAGCGATCTGTCTGGTTTCTATTTCCGAATCAAATGATACATACTTTTATCAGAATAGAAAGACAAAAAAGGCTTGAATCATAAGCAACAATAGTCATTCTAATTGTATCTCGACTTGTTGTACATTATGATTTAACACGCTTCAATTCTATGCGTTGGATAGCACGTGTATGCATTGACTGTACTCCTTTTATTGCAGGTTTGTCATCAATAATCACGATTTCTTCTTCGAGAATATCTCCGCGTAATCGTGTACTAGAGATCAAAAGTAAATTGTCGTATTTGAATGGCGTAACGAGCACATCACCAATCCATCGTGTCTCAAGTTTAACGTCATCACCTTCATCAATAACAAGATCATCAGCACCTTGACCACGACACAGACGATAGTCTTTTACTGCTTGAACTTCTCCGCCTTGTAAATACGTGTTACGCCACACCGTACAAGTGTTGTCACTAGTTGGGTATGGCCCTATTTCCATTAACACATCTACAGCAGAAGATCCGGGTCTCATTGGGTAGTTTGTTAGCGAACCACGCCAAGTTCCATTCCAGTTGGGATTATCTAAATTTATGTTTAACTTTCTATAAGCATTTCTTTTTTATAATATGAAAACTGTCTATTTAAGAAACAACTAAAAATCTATTAATATCCGTCTCTCTTTTGTTTAGACGAATAATTGTTCAAAGTTTATTTCTTAATCTTTCACTTCCCATATTACCTTGGCATAATAACGAATTTGAAACATTCTGTGTGTAATAGTCAACATTATTAGAAATGTTTCACTAACATAATATCGTTTCTTGACGAATCAATCTTTGTAAAATTTCTTTTGCTTTCGAATAACATGTCTTCGAGAGATGCTGGTTGACAATCCGTTTATAAATGACTGAAAATTTATGAAAGTTGTTGAAATTCTTTTCAAAAGACTAATTGTGAAGTTAATCATAGAAAGTGATACTCGTATGGACTCATTAAAAAAACAATCATTAACGAACAATAGGTTAGCTTTTGAACACAAACAAATTACTATTATTTATAACACGTATGAGAAGCTGATTCATCGAGTTTTTTATTTATTACGTGAGATTTTCGAGTATTTCTTACGGCTTTATTGAGGTTTTTAAATATTTTTTTAGTGTAAGAAAAAGATCAATACTCGACTTTATTACTGTTCGCGAAACTAATGCAATAAATGCAACTCTGCTAAATAAATGAACGTTGAAAATAAATCAAAATGTAATTGTTCACGTACCTTGATTATCTGTAGATATGAGAGTCATTGTCATTAGAAAGGTCAAAATTACTGTGCACAAAAGAGAAGAAAACATTTTATTGATAATTTGTATTTGATGTAGGTATGAAAATGAAAAAGTTCGATTCAGTTAATTTTTGTTTCGTATGAATGGTACAAAATGTCGACTTTACTTTGTTTTTCTTTAAATAAATGTTTGCATGGTCAAAATATCACAAGAGGATTAACATGTCAATGTAACACAATATTTTTACTTTTCTTTTTCTTTAGCTCGCTTCAAATATCTTCGGTAGACCTTGTGAGAAAGTTATGACTTCCATAAGCAATTTAATTTAGATATCACTTAAGCAATAAAGAATTAGGTTTACGTTTATATTTTTAGTCCCTAAAATGATGATTGGTACTCATCGAAAACACGAATATGCTTCGTGATTCTCAAGTAGAATAATAGACAATTTTTATGAGTTGCAGGCACTTTGCTGCAACTTGTTTTTCTTTTATGCATTACACGAGTGCTTTCTTTACAAAGTTACCATACTTTCCTTGAAAGATTACAGCGTTGCTGTAGCAATGTAAGATTTTCATTTTTATACATAATAGAAAGATCTCAGTCAATGTGCTAGCATCATCAAAATTGAGAAAAATATCTTTCTCTGTTCCAAAGGCGGCTCTAACGAGTCAGTGTTATTCTGCTCCCTTAATTCTAAAACAAACCCTTCGATACATCCTTGATCTTTTAGACGAGCATAATGATAATGAGAAAATTCCCCCTCTGCACATAAATTGATCATATCATCTTTCATTTCTCAGCGCCTTAAGGACTACGTTGGTGGACTTTCTCGGCGGAATGGAAAACTTTTTCGTATTATAAACTATTATGAGATTGAATACTTCGAAAAAATCGTTTATTTTCCTGCTAACATTGATCTTTTGAGCGAGACTTTGTATGAAAGAAAGTAACGGAATAGTTAAAATCAGTTATGGTGTCTTCGTTATTTGATGCTACACGATGAATAGTAAAAAGAATGCATTGAACTACAGAGTCAAAATTTAGCTTTACCTTCCTCATCTGCAGTCAAGACTTGTTCACAAAATTTATTATACACACCATTTTCGGTTGGATATACCACGAAGTTCACTATCAGTGATATATTTCTCAGACTAAGTTGCTTCTTTGTTTCGTTAACCATCGTCTTGACTACAAGAGGTACAGAACATTTATGATCCCCACATCCGATTGCAGGAAATGCAACAGACATGAAGTTATTTGCAATAACATTTTGGAAAACATTCACTATGAAGTCGACCATTGATTGTCGAAGTATATTGGAATCTGCATGAGGCTTCCATTTTAAAAAAATATTCGTTTGTACGCCAATTTACCAGGTTCAAGTGAAATAAATATTGAATTCGGACTACGTGTTTGTTCAGCCTCATATGCTGTGTTAATGTTACTCTCTGCTGCCTTCATTATTCCTTGTCTTAAGGCATCCGATGATGAGCTACCAATAATAATATCAACCTATCAAATATAAAAATTATTCAATTTGTTTTTGCATATACAAGTATGGTTGCTAACCTTTTGTTTTGTTATATTTCCTTTCTCAATAACAATCGTTCCTTTTTCAACAGTTGTCGATATACCATTTGAATGCAATAAATGAATGCGTTTCTGAAACTCTTCATAAATATTCGTTTTATCTGGTTGTATGACGAATGAAACTGAAATGGGGCTAGTAACTTGCTGAAGATGAGCTTTCATGACAAGCGCTTCTGCGACAATACAAACTGAATATCCAAGCTGACCGCAACCGATAGCTAGAAATGCTATACTCTGATAGTTTTCTTCTACGGCTTTCTTTATTGCGTTTGCAAAAAAAATTTTAATGGACTTGCGAAATCGTTCAGTGTCAGATCGGCCTCCCACGGAAGGACAAAAAGCCTCTTCCATGCAAGCTGCCCATCGGTGTGAACAGCAATGATTGAATCGTTGTCTCCTTTTTCTAATTTATGATTGTATAATTTTCTTGTAGATTGTCCGGCAGCTTTCAAAATGGTGCCTAACAAAACTCCAGAAGACGAGCTCACAGCAATAACATCCGTCTGAGTGCATTGAAAACAATTCGAAACTGTCACATTGATTTTCAAAGCTTTAGCTTACTTTTATAGTTGTCAGATCACCTTTACAAACGGTTATCGAAGAGTTTGAACTGGCTTCAACGCATGAATCGTCATCCAATAGAAACAAAAAGACTGTACTTCAGCTCAGTTTGGCAGCACTTTGCCAAGAAAAAAAATGACGGTGTTAGCTCATTAATGATTTTCACGTCAACTACCGACTTGGAGGGAACCGGATTGGTTTGGTTCAGTAGCATTAGGTTGAAGGCAAATTTTTATCTTGTCAATGAACAGTTTGTTAACATTATTCAATTTTTCTATTAATTTCAGATTCATCTGTATTTTTTTCATATCCCACTGCTTTAATAGTTGTAAGACGCGGATTCAATGATAGAGAATTTCGAAATGTTTATCCATTTTT